ATTTCGAAGACATGTATCATTATGCCATGTATAATTCTAGAAAACGTAAACTCATTGATAGTCGCCCGAGATATGATGTGGGCGGGGGAGGCGGGAGGGGGTTGTTAACCAGCCTGTATTACAAGCGCCCAGTACAGAACAGGAGCAGGCGGGCGCGGCAGGGTGCGGAGTCGGGTGCCCCATATGAGACTGGTAGAAAAGTGTATTTGCGCCAAAAAGGTTATATATGGGACAGAATTATTCGGTCTAAATCTGGAAATCCTCTCTATCCTTGAACCACTTGTTATTGCGACTATCAAATCATACCTTCTACTATAATAATAGCGGAATACAAATCTAATGGTTCTCAGTCAAACACATCAATCATAAATACCTGTAATATTTAATTTTGCATTCTTCCTTACAGTTCTTTTGTATTTGAGTAGTTGGTTGCTTTCTTTGTTCGAGAAATTAAGGTGGCGATTATTTGGAGCGCGCACCTGGCATCGACAAGAGATCAGATCACGCGCAAAGTATGTCATATAACTCGCAGGACTTAATATCATATACAAACACAACAAAACCCCAAGAAAAAAAAAAAAAAACTTATAAATAGTACATGAGGTATCTATGGTTATAAATTGACCACTGACTCTGTCTGCAGTTGACACGGATCGTGCATATATTTCAATAGTATCATAGTCATATGATATTGTCATCCTAGCATTTCTGTCTCGTGAAAAGATATGTTCTTCTGACATGCGCATGTGTATCTGAATTACATGCCAATAAAGATTTAATAATAATAATAATAAAAGCAGAAAAAACAAACCAGTGTGCTTACTTTTATAGAATGTGTAGGTAGGATTTATGAATTTAAGGTGTAATGTGAAGTTTAATATATGGCGCGTAATAATTATTGTTGATTGTAAAATGTTCATTTAGCAATCCTACTGCATCATTCTCAGTAGAGCCAATGAGATATATATTACCTTGATGCTGATCGGTTTACTTGATTTCGCTCGATGTGAATAGAGTGTTAAATTGCTCCGGTGAGGATCTATTCATCAATCGATCCTTTTCGATGATGATGCGTTGAATTTCTGCGACGCTGCCAGCGATCCCTATCATGTCAGTGTTTTTTGCATCGCCCTGCATGTCGCTTGCGCTAGTTAATCAGAGCTCGAACGGAACTCTCTCGCTGCCGTCGACGATTCACTTCCTCGTGATTCGGACAGATCTCCCCTTGGCTTCCTCGGTCGAGTCTTCTCGTGAGGTGTGTGTGTGTGTGTGTGATGTGTGTTGTGCGTTGTGTGTGTGTGCGCTGGCGTGGCTGGTGTGTGTGTGTTTGTGTGTGTGTGTGGGTGTGTGTGTGTGTGTGTGTGTGTTTTTACGTATTACTGAGGACCGTCATATGTTTACACACCTTCAAGGTGAGGACCTTTTTACTACCGAGGACCAAAAACCCGGTCCTCGCCAGTAAATGTTGGCATTGCACTCAGCGCTCCCTATATCGCTTCCACACTTAATTTGAAGGTGGTCCTCGCCTATGGCTAAAAATTGTATATGTGTGTATGTGTGTGTATGAACCGCAATATTTCATACACACTCACACATCGAAGGGTAGTCAACTCCTCCTGGTGGCGACCGGATGTCATCGTCCACAAGTCCTACATAGCCAGGTACCCGTCCCTTCTCACAAGCTCGATATAGGGCTATATAACGAGCAGTTCTAGACGGGTACCAGTCTAAAGTCCTAGCCCGATAGTAGTCACGTGACTATGTCTGATCGTACGTGCGCGTCATGTGGTAGACGGGTACTCGGTCTCTATACTCGTTAACATAAATGTGGGTTTAACATATTGGTAAGGACAGCGTTCCAGTCTATCAGCCATATCGTTGCTGTACTCATGCTGTACTTGGCCGCATACAAGCAGGCAGAGTCTGCAAAAGCAAATGCTGTGAGTGTGAGGCGAAGTTTGTACACGAAGTTTCTACGGCGAAGTTTCTACGGCGAAAAAGGTTTTTTTCCGGGGGGGGGACAGGTACGTAAGTAGTGATATTTGACTTGCATATCAGCGTGGTTTGGGTAAATTATATAGTTTAATATTAATATATAATATTAATAATCAGTATTGTACGTATTATGTATAGAGCTCTCCAAGAAACGGTATTGCTAGGGTTAGAATAGACAATCCGTCGCACAGCCTGGTCGGGCTAGTATTATGTATAGCTGTATAGAACTTTGTTACCATTACCATAGAGTAGTTAGGTTGGTTGTCTAGCTATCTACTCGCAAGAAAGTCAGTCTTGCTAACTCAGTATCACAACCTAAACTGTAGCTCTAGAACTATAGGTATAGCCCTCCACTCCGCCGCAGGAGACGGTGGAGGATCGAGTCCCTGCGGCGGAGCGGAGAGCTATAGAGTATAGTTCTAGAGCTATATATTAGCTGTAGCTACATGTTAATTACCTAATGTACTGACTACTGTGCTGCAGTGTGGTTATAGCCACAAGGAGGGGGGGGGGGGGGCAGGAAAACGGTGTTATGGACTTATGGTGTATATGGGGGCAGAAAATGGTATGCAAAGTGTGGGAGACAGTGTGCAAGGGGGGTGGGAGGTTGGGCGACGGATATGGGAGGCAGGGAGGAGGGAGGTGGGAGGGAAGGACACCACTGTCCCTTCCCACAACAACAATGTACTGCATCAACCCGCAAAATGCATGTCCTCTTGTTGTGCCGGCATTCTGGCCATGACGTAAAGACTAGTAGTAATAGTAACGTTAAGCGTGCGTGCATTGCAGTTCTTACTTCTGGCATATTTCTACTTAAAGGTCTGCATGAAAACCATCTCAAAACTTTCTAAATTTGATCGAATAGATCAATAGAAATATACAATAATACATGTACGTAGCTGTGCCGTTTTGCCTAGAGTTGCCCTTGTCCGACTGCTCGCGACGTTCTTGAACATTAGGCCAGACCATGGATGTTTGCCAGAGTCCCATAATTCTGGTAGCAAGATTTTTTAAACTCTTGCTACATTACAAGGCTATAGTTAATATAGTAGTATATAGGGTATTTAGACGTCTTTATCGCAGCCATATTTAGGAAGTAGTGTAGATATGTGAACAGTTGCTGATATATGTTTATAGTTGCCTTCATCTGTCCAGCAGATGCTAGCACCGCTATCACCGGCCGGGAGAAGTCATATGAAAATGGCCTTTTCAGCATGCCCCTCGGAGGTGGCGCCTATCGCGGTCACTGCCATTACCTACCATTGGCACGACGAGGCGTATCACTCCTGATGGCCGGCCTATCTGTGTACATTTTTACAGTATGGCACTCAAGCTGTACCCCTTACGTTCTAGAGGAGAAGTAATGGTGCAGCTGTCACTTGAGAAAAGCAAGAAAGGTATGTATGTATGTATATTATGTACGTAAGTGCATGCATGCGTGCATGTACGTACGTAATACGTATGTATATATATGATACACGTAGACCTCCGACGAGATGGGTACATGTTACCTGGCATTATTATGACTGATTACTGGTGTTCGCTTCGCTGGCTCATGCAAAGAATACGTCCAACAGTGATCAGCATGTGTTCTACGAATGATTGCAAATTGCACCTCACTAACATGATGCCAACATGAAAACTTACTTCAGGGTTAGGGTGTACACACAGTACAGGCGGGCACGGTAGAGGGTTCGCAGTCGGGTGCCGCCATATTGTTCGATAGGAAAGTGTATTTGCGCCGTTAAAAATAACTGGTTACCGACTTATAACAAGAACCCTGTAAATGCTGTGTTAATTAGCATTCTAATGTTTGCGACTATATTCTCATGTTTACCTGGCCTTGAATTAAATGTCAACCATGTTTACATGTTTACATGGCCTTGAATTGCATTACATTGTCAATAAACTCCTAAAATTGTTTTAAAAATATGAATAACGCATCTTTTCACTAAAAGATTTACGTACTGTGACTAAACTATTGGCAATAATTTTTTTAAACATTACATGGTCTTAGTTTCACTTTAGCCCCTAATTAGTATACAATTATTGAGCAACTTACAATTGTTTTAAATATGTAACTTCTTTTATTTTTATTTTTATGTACAGGATCAGCTGAAACACACATGCGAGGCAAATTAGATAAAATGGATAACACTCCTAAAAATTCTGAAGTGACTGGTTCATGCGCAGTGACTGATACATGCGCAGGGACTGATTCATGCGCAGGGACTGATTCATGCGCAGGGACTGATACATGTGGAGTGACTGATTCATGTGGAGTGACTGATTCATGTGCAGGGACTGATTCATGTGGAGTGACTGATACATGCGCAGGGAGNGACTGATTCATGTGGAGTGGGACTGATACATGCACAGGGACTGATACATGTGGAGTGACTGATCATGCGCAGGGACTGATACATGCGCAGGGACTGATACATGCACAGGGACTGATACATGTGGAGTGACTGATACATGCGCAGGGACTGATACATGCGCAGGGACTGATACATGCGCAGGGACTGATACATGCGCAGGGACTGATACCCTGCACATGTATCAGTCACTCCACATGTATCAGTCCCTGTGCATGTATCAGTCCCTGCGCATGTATCAGTCACTCCACATGTATCAGTCCCTGCGCATGTATCAGTCATTGCGCGTGTATCAGTCACTCCACATGTATCAGTTCCTGCACATGAATCAGTCACCACGCATGTATCAGTTGCTCCACATGTATCAGTCCTTGCACATGCATCAGTCACTCCACATGTATCAGTCCCTGTGCATGTATCAGTCCCTGCACATGTATCAGTCCCTGCGCATGTATCAGTCACTCCACATGTATCAGTCCCTGTGCATGTATCAGTTCCTGCACATGAATCAGTCCCCACGCATGTATCAGTTGCTCCACATGTATCAGTCCTTGCACATGCATCAGTCACTCCACATGTATCAGTCCCTGTGCATGTATCAGTCCCTGCGCTGGTATCAGTCATGCGCAGAGACTGATACACGCGCAATGACTGATACATGCGAAGTTACTGGTTCATGCAAAGTGAGTGGCGTGACAGTAAAATGTGCCAAAAATGCAAAAGGGAAAAGAAAGTGGGACAAAAAACATTATTGTGTCTATTGCATGAAACTGCAGTCTAAACTGGCTCGTCACTTAGAAAGGCGGCATGCTGAAGAACCAGACGTTGGACGTGCCTTGAGCTTCAATAAGAAGAGTGCAGAAAGGAAAGCGCTGTTTTTCAAGATACAAAACAAGGGTGATTATCATCATAACTATAATGTCATTGAGAAGCACAATGGAGAAATAATTCCTTTGATGAGGCCGTCATCATCGGGACCTCTGTGTTCATATCAAGAATACAGTGCATGTGAATTCTGCTATGGCTTTGTCAAAAAGTCAGATCTTTGGAAGCATGTAGCATCTTGCAAATTGAGAGATCAACCAAAAACCAAATATAAGCGCATACAGGCTGCCAGTTCATTGTTACTGCCTCTCGCAAAAGGTGCATCAGAGGGCTTGCGAGAAAATGTGCTTACTAAGATGAACCAAGATGTTGTCACGAGACATGTTGGCCAGGATTCACTGATTTTGAGGTATGGTTCAACACTGTACACTAAACACGGCCTTGATAAGCACAAGTACAACTATATTTCACAGAAAATGAGGGAGTTAGGGAGGCTTCTAATATCAGCAAAGAAATCGGATTCTAGTGTGCGATCATTAACTGATTGTATTGATCCTGTGAAGTTCGATTTGCTGGTAAAAGTTGGAAAATCTATGTCAGCAAGTGTCCCTTCACTTGGAATTAAATTGGGCTTTTCATTAAAGCACTGTGCGAACATCTTAAAGTCAGAAAGCATCAAGTGTCAAGACGAGAAATCCAAAAAGAAAGCAGTCGACTTCTACAGCCTATGTGAGATGCAGTGGGGTCAGGAAGTTTCCAACAGTGCTTACAGGGTACTCAATGAAAGTAGGTGGAACAGACCTCAAACTCTTCCATTCACAAAGGATATAGCAAAACTTCACAGTTATCTAAAGACGAAGAGGCATGAATACAGCAAGAATCTACTAGCGTCCGGAAGCAGTGATGACTGGTACAATTTGGCTCAGCTTACGTTGACTGAAGTTATATTGTTTAACAGAAGGCGATCAGGAGAAGCTGGACGGATGGAACTGAAATGGTACAAAACAAACTCCAACAAACACTTGCAGGAGGACATTGAACAGTGCTTGACTCAGTTGGAAATAAAGCTTGCAAAATCACTGAAGCATGTGGAGATTAGAGGCAAACGTGGAAGGAAGGTTCCAGTCCTATTAACTGCAGAGATGAGCAGAAACATTGACCTACTAATAGACAACAGATTTAATTCTGGTGTACCTGAAGCAAACAAATTTCTGTTTGCTATTCCACACACTACATCTTATATACGAGGTGATAGATGCTTAGCAAAATTTGCAGCTGAGTGTGGTGCAAAGCGTCCAGAACTTCTCCGATCAACACGCCTCCGTAAACATGTGGCTACAATGAGTCAACTATTGAACTTAAGAGAACATGAACTCGATATGTTGGCTGGCTATCTTGGCCATGACATAAATGTCCATAGGGAATACTACCGTCTTCCGGAAGATACGCTGCATCTAGCAAAAGTGAGCAAGCTACTAGTCGCATTTGAGAGAGGAGATGTAGCAAAATACGCTGGGAGAACATTGGATGACATCCAGATTGATGTTGATGGTACGTCTTAATTGCTTATTCCGTATTCTATATCTGGTTTATCATGTCATAACTCGTCTAGCAGCATGCAAATTATGATTTGTTTGTCTTGGTTTGTCTGGTCGCCAATATTTAGAGGAGCTCCCAGTTGATCTACCAGATAGAGATGAGGAAGAAGAAGACACTGATGAGGAAACTTCTACTCAGCAGCCGTCATGTATGCAGGCAGAAAGTGAGGAAGATGAGGAGGAAGAAGACACTGATGAGAAAACTCCTACTCAGCAGCCATCATGTATGCAGGCTGAATGTGACAGTGATGGTAAGGGAATAGCAGTCATCAATAAAATTGAAAATGTTATAATTATTGACTACAATAATATGCAATTTCTTCAAATTTATAAAGCTTTAAATTCATAGAAGAAAAACACTTATTTTGAAGAAAAACCATAAATTTGTGATTTTGGGGATAAATAGCTATTTGCCATTGAATTCAATTCAGGTAGATGTGTTCATGCTTAGCTGTACATGATAATCACAGCTTCTCGAATGATGGTCTTTCACTTAGTTTGTGCGTATTTATAGATACATGTGAAGCTGCCAATGCACCACCGCCTCTGAAATGCCAAACTCGAAATGTGGTTAAGAAGCCATGGACAGATGCAGAGAGGGATGCCATTGACCGGCATCTTGGAGTATTTATAAGAACAATGAAGCTGCCAGGGAAGGAGTGTGAGCCTTGCCAGCTGAACGAATCCAGATTAGCACAGAGGCCATGGAGGCAAATTAAATACTTTATTTATAATAGAATTAAGAAATTGAAGCAAACGAAGAATTAGTTGTGCGGCCGTTTACATGTTTGTGTTACCTTATATCAGGAGTACCTATTATCTACTCCTGCTTATATCCACATATCTATATCTCTCCATCTCTACATCTCTGTTTCTAACTCCCCGCCACTCTCACATCTATATCACCATACCCTTGATCAGCCCTTTTCTGTCCCTCTCCATATTATTCCTATATTTTCCTGGGTCTCTCGCTCTCTCTCTCTCTATCGTAAATCGCTGTCCCGCCTCTCTCTCTCTCTCTCTCTTTCTCTCGCTGGCTCTTATGCTCAGTGGTTAATTTGTTTGGTTTAATGTCAAATAAAGGTGAATTTCAATTATGAAAAGAAATGTTAATTGTTTTGAAAAAAGTTGCAGGTAAATTTGTAAAGTAATTGGTAAAATTGCAGGGGAACTAGCATTAATGTGTGTCCGTAATTTCAACAACTCATACTTAGGTTGGCTTTGAAATGAAACCCTGAGATGAAATTATTATCTGCTGTTGTCTCAGTTTTCTTGTTCTCATGAGTTTACAATTCTGACCATACTTACAAGCAGTCTTACATACACCCACTGCGTCCTACGAGGTAATATACACACCTGGTTTTCACTTTATGCTAAAACCGTGTTATAACTTTATATCACTTTATAATACACAAACCCTGCTACTCGCTGTGTAATAGGCCTACACATAACCTGCCACTTCTCATTTTTTTATAATACACAATACCTGCTTCTCATTGTATAACCAAACCTGCTACTCACTTTATGAAGCACAAACCCTGCTACTCCTTAGTAATATACCTTCCGGTCCTCACTAAGTAATACACAGCCTTGTCTTCACTATGTTATACACACCCTGGTCCCCACTAAGTAATACACACAGTGGTCCTCTCCTTAAAATACACACCTCCGGTCCTCAGGTCGTATGTGGAATACACGTTGTTTTAACAAATTATTTTTACAAATTGAAATAGTCCGGCAGTAAGCTTAGGCAAAAAGGTAAAAAACTGTGTTTTTATTTTTTACATAGCACCAGTAGGTATGGTGGTCCTCACCTGCATGGTGTACATACGTGGTCCTCACCCATGCGTAAAGACACGTATGTGTGTGTGTGTGTGTGTGTGTGTGTGTGTGTGTGTGTGTGTGTGTGTAGTTACGACATGTGTGTGAGTTTACGAACTGCCTAGGAGGAGAATGGCGCCTCTTGCTATACTTAGGAGGACTTCCATCGTTAGGAGGAGCTCCTCCTAGATAATCTCGGGCAAATCAATCCTATTCGTCCTTGGAATGCTATTCTGAGATTTTCAGCACTTCCTCGTAGGATTTCCAGTTCGCGCCTTTCGTGTGCATTTTGGTGTGCATTTTTACCCACCCGCGTGTGTACGGCCGTTTTCTACACAACTTCGGTGGTGATAACACTGACGCTCTGCACCGCCCTATGATAGTATGACGAAGTGCTCTCTTTCTTCTTGACAGATACACGTCTTCTACAAGCTCACAAGCCTTACGAGCTTGTGAGAAGGGACGGGTACCAGTCTATCTTTCTTCGTTCCCGGGCCACCGGCAGCCATTTTTTATTTCTGTGTGTCGCAAGGAAGTGGCTGGTTCCCACGGAAGTGGCTGATTCCCATCGGATCGACGCTGGATCGTCGTTTACGTTTAACTAGACAGTATTCTTGTACAGGTGAGTATTAACTTTATATTTTACATTATTTATTCTTTTAAGTATAAGCCATCCCTAGGATTGAAGCGGATTCAGCAAATGTTGGAAAGTTGGAAAGCATGATTGCTTAGCAGAAATAGAAATGACCTTTCGACAATATCCTTAGAGAAGCTAGTTTCTAGAAGCGTCTGTTCAAGCAGAGCTTTGAAACTAACCTATAGTTAACTAACTAAACTAGCCATAGTCTAATCTACTAGCCTTTAAAAATACTACAGCCCTTGCGTTTCTGAAATGATCGAGGTGCCGAAGCTACGTACGCGGCAAGCAGTTTTGCTCACAGGCACTACTGACTACTAGCTACAGCCTACTAATATTAATATGAAGGCACATTCACAAATACTACCTCTCAATTACACTTCCACTTTGTGTCACCTGGTTAAGATATAATTTGCACAAACAATTCCAGACCGTCGGATCGCAGTCTGAATATGAATTTACTCGCCTATATGGACCCGGTTAGATATAATTTGCGCGCACAATTTCCAGAGCCGGTCTGAGATTACCCCAGTCTGAATTTACTCCGCCTATGGGCACCGGGTTAAAGATATAAATTTGCGGAAACATTCCAGACCGGTCTGCGATTAACCAGTCTGATTTACCTCCATATGGCACGCAGTGTACGATATAATTTGCGCGAACAATTCCAGACAGGTCTGAGATTAACGCCATTCTGATTTACCCTCCTATATGGGCACCCCGGTTAAGATATAATTTGCGAAACATTCCAGAAGCGCTCTGAGATTACCCCAGTCTGAATTTACCCCGATAATGGCACCAGGTTAAGATATAGATTTGTAAACGTATTGTTTTTGTTTTGTTAGCGGTAGATAATTATGATTTTGAGTGTTTTCAGAAAAACAAACATTTCAAAAAAAAAAAAAAAAAAAAAAAAAAAAAAAAAAAAAAACAAATATCCATTATTATAAATATATATATTCACTATATTGTAATTCGTAGTGTAAATGTGTTATTTCACTTAATATTAAAGTTACGAGAGGATCTGGCTCTCGTAAGTTAAGAGGATAATTTGGAGGATTTTCGTATCTCGTAACAATTACGATGTTTTCTGTCAACGGTTAACGAGTGGAAGTTAATGTTTAAGATAAATGGTAAGACTAATTTTTTTTTCTGACATACGGCCTAATCCATTGATTAAATACGTATAGGACAGACATTGGATACACCGATCATCAGCAACCTTCACCAGAGTTATACATTCATGATCATAAACATGAATAATATTGAATCTATGTATAATTGTATATACAAAGTAAGATTATTAAATCTATGGGGCTAATTATTAACTGATTATCCGATTATAATCGTTATAGATCGGGTTAAGGAAACGCGATAATGATGTATGAAGATTCAGCGATTCCATCTACTAGATTTACCCTAGTCTAGTTATGGGACCATGCAGGTAGATTATATTTTGCGAGAAAAATTCCAGACCGGTCTGAATTACCCGTCTGAAGTTACTCCTATGGCAGCGAGGATTAAATATGTAATTTGACGTGAAGCAATTTCCAGACGGTCTGAGATTACCACAGTCTAAATTTGCCCGCCTATGGCACCCAGGTAAGATATAATTTGGCGGCGAACATTCCAGACGCGGTCTGAGTTACAGTCTGAATTTGCCTCTATGGCATGGCCCGGGTAAGATATAATTTCGCGGACACTTCAAGACCGGTCTGAGATTACCGCCAGTGTGAATATCAGGGGCTGCCATCTCACGCATTGAGCCGTGAGACTCGGCATTTGACCAAATCTCACGCTCTAGGGGCGCTGATCTTACAATATCTCACGGCACGCAAAAAATGCTGGATATCTCACGAATAATATCTCTCTGATAAAAGTGAATATCTCACCACAGCCCAAACAAATCTACAATATGGAAAACAGTCACTCTAGTATGGCACCAAATTGCAAAATTGAAGTTATAAATGCAAATTCACCCTCCCGCGCCCGCCCCCCCCACTCGGTTCGCTTCGGTCCCCTCGCATCTCGTGGGGAGTGAGGGCCGACAGTGACGACCTGAAACGCTACGTAAATCAAGCTGTTACTGAATTCGTCACTTTTCTTAACGTAGAAAGTGGACTATTTTTATTTAGTTAGATATCTAGAAGCAATGTAAACTGTATGTGCATGTACTTGTGATTAGAGACGCTTGTGGGAAATTTATTTTGATTGATTTTCTACATTCTGCACTGTAGTAATTAACTGAGATGTAATCTGCTATGTCCCCGTGCCCCACGATAACCCCCTGCGACATGAAAACTGTTATTTCGGTCATACAAACACTGGCTGTAAAGAGGTCATTCTATCATAGGTTTGGATTGTTACGAGAATCTTATCTCAGGACCTACAGGGTGCAATAGTGTTCCTCTATAGGAAGCATGTGTTCTCAAACTATGTTTATAATATTTCAACATGTAGATCCCCTAACACTGAACCGCTACCGCTACCGCTAAGGGTTCGTTTGTCGTATCAGGTACTACAGATATGTACCCGAGGTATACACAAGTGTACGCAGACTTAATCTTCTCAGCATGTATGTATACGCCTGTGTTTACTAAACGTACCTGCCCCGGAGAGGGAGATCGAATGAAGACGGTCATGGAGGAGGAGTAGGGGGCAGGAGGAGGAGGAGGGGAGAAGGTGATGGAGTAGGAGGAGGAGGAGGAGGAGGAGGAGGAGGCGGAAGGAGAGGAGGAGGCGGCGGGAGACAGTGATAGATGAGCAAAGGTGGAAGGTGCTCTAACTCTCTCATCACTCCTCCTCGCTTCTCTCCTTGCGCCTATTCATACTCAAGACACTCCCCTCCTCCCCCCTTCTATCTGCCTATCTCGGCCTACTCCTCTCCATCACGTTTCCCTCTCCTCCTCCATCCACACCTATCCACCTTCCCCTCTCTGCCTCCTGCCTCTACTCTCATGCTCCTCCCCCTACTCCAAAACGTCTCCCCTCATCTCCTCTCCTTCTTCATCATTCTCCTCCTCTGTCCTGCCCCCTACTCCTCCTCCATCACCTTCTCTCCTCCTCCTCCTCCCCCTCTCAATGTTCCTCTCAAGGATTGCAGTGTGTGCAATCGTGTTCCTCCCAAGGAAGTGTGTGCTCTCAAACTATGTATAATATTTCAACATGTAGAGCCACTTAACTAACCGTATGCAGTAATATTCCTCTCAATGAAGTGTGTGTAATAGTGTTCCTCACAAGGAAGTGTGTGTTCTGAAACTGTTTATATTATCAATATCATATTACAACATGCAGAGCCACTTACGTTACTGTACGTTCCTCTCAAGGAAGTGTGTGTAATAGTTGTCCTCACAAGGAGGTGTGTGTTCTCAGACTATGTTTATATTATAATATTTCAACATGTAGAGCCACTTACGTTACTGTACGTTCCTCTTAAGAAAGTGTGTGCAATACTGTTTCCTCACAGGAGGTGTGTGTTCTCAAATAGTATAATATTTCAACATTTAGAGCCACTTAAGTAACCGTATGCAGTAACATTCCTCTCAAGGAAGTGTGTGTAATAGTGTTCCTCACAAGGAGGTGTGTGTTCTCAAACTTAGTTACTATGTTTATATTATAATATTTCAACATGTAGAGCCACTTACGTTACTGTACGTTCCTCTTAAGGAAGTGCTTGTTGTGCAATAGGTTCCTCTCAGGATGTGTGCTCTCAAATATGTATATTTCAACTTTAAGCACTAAGTAACCGTTGCAGTAACATTCCTCTCAAAGGAAGTGTGTGTAATAGTGTTCCTCACAAGGAAGTGTGTGTTCTGAAACTGTTTATATTATCAATATCATATTACAACATGCAGAGCCACTTACGTTACTGTACGTTCCTCTCAAGGAAGTGTGTGTAATAGTTTGTCTCACAAGGAGGTGGTGTTCTCAGACTATGTTTATATTATAATATTTCAACATGTAGAGCCACTTACGATACTGTACGTTCCTCTTAAGGAAGTGCTTGTGTGCAATAGTGTTCCTCTCAAGGAAGTGTGTGCTCTCAAACTATGTATAATATTTCAACATTTAGAGCCACTTAAGTAACCGTATGCAGTAACATTCCTCTCAAGGAAGTGTGTGTAATAGTGTTCCTCACAAGGAGGTGTGTGTTCTCAGACTATGTTTATATTATAATATTTCAACATGTAGAGCCACTTACGATACTGTACGTTCCTCT